CTGTTAGTGAACCTGGTATCACGATCATTGACTATATCTTTAGGCAATCCAAAGTACTTCACCACGTACTTGTAGAACAGTTCTGCAGCAACATCTGCAAGGCAAACATGAGGTGCAAGAATGAACACCGCATACTTAGAGAAACGATCAACCACCACCATGATCGAACGCATGCTATCAACCTTTGGTAGATTGCAAATGAAATCCATCAAGGCTGACTGCCATGGTTTGTCAGGAATGGGCAGGGGCTGTAGCAAGCCTGTTGCTTTCTTCTTCTCAACCTTGTCAAGTTGGCACACTAGACAGGTTCTGACATAGGCTTCAACATCATCTTCCATCTTGGGCCAGTAATAAGAGCGAGTCAGCAATGCAAGCATCCTCTCTACTCCTGGATGTCTAACCCACTGAGAGTCGTGTGTCTCACGCAGCAACTCCAGTCGTAGTTCCCCTCCCGTAGGAACATAGAGTCTTCCCCCTTTAGCATAGAACATATCATCATCAATCCAGTATCTACGCACCAGACCTTCGCCAACTTGCTGCTTCAATTTTTCGTAAGCAACATTAGTCTGAGCACATTCTTTGACTTTTGCCAGGAAGTCAGTTTGCACACTGGACAGTGCAACAACATATTCTTGGACCTCCTTTATACTCAACTCATCAACAACTTGATTTTGCCTCCTAGGTCTGTGTACCCATACAAAATCGAACTCAGCAAGAAATTCCTGCCATCGAGCCTGCTTCGGGGTCAACTTCTTCTGGGTCTTGAAATAAGTGTTTGCCACCTTATCTGTCACAACAATGAATTTCGTTCCCAGCAAGTAGTGCCTCCAAATTTCAAGGAAATGCACCACAACAGTCATTTCTTTCTTATGTGCTGAATATCGCTGCTCAACATCTTTCAATTTTTGACTTTCAAAGGCAACAGGGTGTCCCTCTTGAACAAGGACTCCTCCAATAGTGTGGTCAAAGGCATCAGTGTGCACTTCGAAAGACAGATCAAAGTCCACCAATCTCAGTACATGTGCAAAGGATACTGCATGCTTCAGCTTCTCAAAAGTTGTCTGACAAACATCATTCCAATCCCACTTTTGGTCTTTCTTCAGCAAGTCAGTCAGGACATTGCACTTCTTTGAATATCCTTCAATGAACTTGTGGTAGTAATTGGCTAGGCCAATAAACGACTTTAGTTTAGACACCTTGGTTGGTGCAGGCCAATCAACAATTGCCTTCACCTTCCTCTCATCCATCCAGATTTTGCCCTGACTAATATAATGTCCCAAGAACATCACTTCTTGGCGACATAACTCACATTTTTCCTTTTTGACGTACAGCTGGTGTTCCCTAAGTCATGAAAACACAACCCTTAAATGATCTATGTGATCTTCCAACATTTCACTATAGATTACAATGTCATCTAAGTAAACAACTACAAAGACATCAATGTAATCGTAAAAAACATCATTCATTAGATTACATAAATTTTTCGGGGTATTAGTGAGCCCAAACGACATTACAAGAAATTCAAAAGAACCATAACGCGTCACACACGCAGTCTTTGGCTCATCCTCTTTTGCAATTCTGACCTGCTAATACCCAGTCCTAAGATCCAACTTTGTGTAGAAAGTGGCCTTGGACAATCTGTCGAACAGATTAGCAACATTTGGAACATGATACTTGTTCTTGATAGTCACCTTGTTCAAAGCACGATAATCGATGCACATGCGCAACGATCCATCTTGCTTCTTCTGGAACAGAATAGGGGCTCCGTATGGCGCCTTGGATGGCTTCATGCTGCCAGAATCTAGCAACTCGTTCAATTGCTTCCTCAATTGTGCCAGTTCCATTGGCGACATCCGGTAAGGGGCACGGGCTGGAGGCCTTGCACCAGGCTCCAGTTCTATCTTGTGGTTAATTACACGTCTGGGTGGAAGATTCTTGGGGAGTTTAGGGGGCATAACATCAGCAAACTCGACCAGTACATCTGCCTCAATATCAGGTACTTCAACCAGCACATCTGGTTTGACCTCCACCAAGGTTGCGAGGTATGTCATCTCACCCTTCTTCAACCCTGTATTTACTTGCATAGTAGACATCATTCCCACCTTCCGCTTTCCATCTTTCTTACTTTGGTCTGCCATGAGTGCATGCACAAAGCAGGGTGTTTTCTCATCCGTGATCAGCACTCTGTTCAGATGTGACATCAATGCCACTTTCACTGTAACAAAGAATTCATTCACTAGGATGACATCAAAGTCGTCCAATGGCACAACCATCAAACTCATTTGGCCTTCCCACAGACCTACTTTTAGGCGTATTTCTGTTGTACCACATACTGGCATTGCTTCAGAATTTACTGCCTTGAGTTTGCTTGAATTTTCTGACAATTTCAGGACAAACTTTCCCACATCTCTCTGGGCAACAAAGTTGTGGGTGGCTCCAGTATCCACCATGACCTGAACTTCTTTGCCATTCACCCAGGCCTGAACAAATATGAGGCCTTTACAGGGTTACTGAACTTTGCCCGCAGTAATTGCATTCAGCAACTAGAGAGGGTTGACTAGGGTAGGACAGTCATCATCACTGTCATTCTCACTTATAGCAACAAGGGCATTTAACTTCTCCCTCTTGGGGCAGTCTTTGACACGATGGGGCCGTAGTAGAGAAAAACCAGAATCAAAAATTTTCTTCTTCTGGTTATTGTTTGGCTTGTTAAAGTCAGCAACATTCTTCTTTTTCTTCCAATCTTCTTTTTTTGCGTCTTTGGAAGTGCCAGCCTTATCTTTCTTGCCACTACCATCCTTCTTCTTTTTCTCAGGAAGGCCTTGGCTGCCGCCCATTTTGAAGTCAACAAGGCCATCTGCAGCAGAAATGGCAGTGGGCAGATCACGTACCCCTTGCCTTCGCTGTTCAGCCTGTGCCCAACCTTACAGTCCGGACATAAAGTTGAAGAGTTTGTCTTCCTCTGACATGTTCTTGATGTCTAACATCAATGAACTAAACTCCTTCATGTAATCGTGAACTGTTTTGGTGTGCTTCAACTTTTTGAGTGAGTCCCTAGCAATCCAAGTTATATTGCTAGGGAGGAATTGATCCTTCAATTTCTTTTTCAGGGTCTCCCATGTCTCGATCTTTGGACGACCAGTAGAGGCATCGTCCACATTTCGGGTCCTCCACCATAATTTGGCATCACCAGATAAATACATACTGGTGATTATTACTTTCTCTCCATCAGGCACATGGGCTACCTTAAAATACTGCTCCATGTCCTAGAGGAAATTCTCCAGATCTTTAGCACTTCGGGTGCCTCCGAAGGCCTTTGGTTTAGGGACTTTAATCTTTGAATATGTCTCGCCCACAATAAGACGAGAATTCATGGCCCTCTTCACCAAGGACACATCATCTTCAAGATCCTTCAAATTTGTTTTGACAACGTCTGTGAGAGATATGATATACTCCATCATTGTTACAATCTTTGCATCGATGTCAGACACATAACTATCAAAAGTCATCTGTAATCCCGCAATCTGAATAGCGTGTTGTTCCATCTGTGCAGCCACGCTGGTTGCACCATCTGTCTGAGGGGCGCCCAAAAATCTTCGAGATGGGCAATATGTTCTCGCAATTCAGCAGCATTTCCACCAGCCATGGTCGCAAACTGAAGCTCTGATACCAATTGTCATGGAGTTAAATTTCTCACCAAATTTCTGCCTCGTGATGGCACTAAGATCTAACACTTAGTCTTAGCCAAACACTTAAAATGCATACAAAATGCACATAGAACAGAGAATGGACAGTAAGTAAACACACATAATTTATAGGCAACAACCAAACCTTTCTTTCTCAATAAAGTATAAGGAACTCAACCTTGGGGTCTATTTACAAAAACGTGCCAACTCTCTTGTTGCACTACATACCCAAACACCCTATTTATAATATTCAGGGTGATAGTTACAAGCCCAACTGCCTAGGCACATGTCTGTAATTCAAATGCTACCAGAGGTCTGCTGTGATTGGATGACAGGGAAGTTATAATTGGTGTTTGCATGCTTGTCTGAATCTGACAGAGATCCCACATGCTATGCATTTGCCAGAAAACTGTCCAGAACTGCCTAGAACTGCCACCATCTGCAAAGCACATGCCCAACTTCCTCACATGTTGTGTATGTGTCAGGAGCCCTCAGCATCCGAATTGCATTACATTCGTGTCTAACCATGACCCAGCCTATGACTCATTATTCAAGCTAGTATTGCCCCACAATTCAAACCGCCCGCTTCCTTGCTTGTATGTTGACTTGTGCCCACGTGCATGGACTGCCTCCCTCAGTCATGCACGGGACTTCTGTCATTTTGGCTAAGGCATGTGCCTTGGGATTTCTCCCGATGTCAAATCCACTAACAAACACACATTTCCTAATCAAACTCTCACTATCCAGAATTACTAAAACAATTCTAGTCAAACAGATATAACCTAGTTAATATAATAATCTTAAAATAACTAATAAATTCAAATTATTCAATTTAAGCTTAGCCTTTTTGAAAAAAAACTTTGTTCGAAAAATAAAATAGGTAAACAATCAATGCAAAATGTATTAGGGAAATATTGCTTTGTAGGATTTCGTTAGTCATACGGTAATTTCAAAAAAAAAAAGCCTAATATTTGTTTACGATAGAGCCATCCTTCAAATATATTGGAGAAATGACCTTGGAAAAATCATTCAACTTTTTCAACTTATATCAATATCAGTAACAACCTGCAACTGTCCACATATTTGGGATTTTTATTGAACCTTTTTGGTTTTCTGGTGATAACGATGGATAACGTACCCCTAATATTCCAACACAGTAATTTGTGAACATAATCCACAACTATATATATATACCTGTGTGTGTGTGTGGGTAGGTGGGTGGGTGCATGTCTATTAGTTACTTCTAAAAAATCAGCCAAATGTTATACTCAATGCAGCTTTGTTCTTCCATAGAATGTCTTTAATATCTTTTCTTCACCTTGGTCCAGATAAAACTGATGGCAGAAGTGGTGTAGCAGCACGAACAACGTCCTCCTTTTCACAAATGGTTGCAGTTGTTCTTGATAAATGTTGACCAACAAAGTTATAATCCAAGTCGCTTTCAACATCCACATAACCCTCCAAGACCTTAACCACAGTTGACATATAAGGCCTCCTCTTAAAATCACTCTGTAAGCACCAGTCAGCTAGCCTCATCGTCTCCACAATCTCAGGTCCATGCAACTGCATATCCTCACTGCACTTGTCAACCATATCTGAAAGTTGTCCTCCTCTTGCTTTTCTTTGAAAAAGACATAATAAATGCTTATCTTCCTCAGGCTGGAATCGATCCAAATTTTTTCGCCCGCACACAATTTCTAAGACCATGACTCCAAAACTGTAGACATCTACTTTCTCTGTTATAATTGAGCCCAACCATTCAGGTGCCATATAGCCTAGAGTTCCTCTCAATGTTGTGACAACTTGGCTTTGGTCCTTGTCAATTAATTTCGACAATCCAAAATCAGAAACTTTTGCATTGAAATTTTCATCTAATAGGATGTTTTGAGGTTTGATGTCCAAGTGAAATATCTTCTGTCTACAGTCTTCGTGGAGATAGGCTAATCCTTTGGCTATGTCTAAGATGATCTTCCTTCTTGATTGCCATCCTAGAGCATCCTCTTGGTTTCTTCTGAAAATCCATCTATCCAAAGATCCATTACACATGTACTCATGAACTAGAAGCCTATACGACTTTTCAGCACAAAATCCAATCAGTCTCACCAAGTTGACATGGTGAATGCTACCTATTGTCTCAATTTCAGCTAAGAATGACTTCTTTACTTGACCCAATGCACTGAGATGCTTCACTGCTACTTTGGTGCCATTGCTCAGAGTCCATTCAAAGACCGATCCGAATCCTCCTTCCCCAAGTTTTTTGTTGAAGTTTTCAGTCACATCTTTCAAGTTTTTGTATGCAAATCTTGTGGGCATCCCTGGTACTTGGTCCAAATAATCCTCCTCAACCTCCTTGGATGTAGTAATCCTTCTTACAAGGAAAAAGCAAGCCCCCATCATAAGTAACACACCAATGAAAGCTCCGAGACTAGCTCCCAGTATGAATGATGGGGTTCCCCTTGATTTTTTTGCAAGAAGACTACCTGATGAACTCGTCTGCACTTTAACAAACATTGAGGAATTACGCAGATGGAATGAAGATTGAATGTTTATAAGAGAAAAGACTTCAGATAGTAACAGGCAACCTCCCCGTAGAGGATCCGAATTATATGCAAAAACAGCAGCTTTACAGGTACAGTTTTTCAAGCATGTATTCATACAATCCTCTAGCTCCATCATCTCATCCCTCAGGTCTGATCTATAAACAAAGTAATCAATATCCTTAAGCTCCACAAGCTTATGATATTGAGAAAAGTCACAAGAAATAGGTATGTTAAGGGAACATCCGAGATTGGGTTGTCTAAAATTAATTTGCGAGAAATCGGTTTGTTGAGAACAACTGCACTGCCCATCTGAACAAATGCCGTATTTTCCACACACCATAGGGTACCCGCAGTCACCGAATAAATTGTTTGTCAGGAGATCTTGCTCTTGTCCCCAACTTGATCCTCCCCATGCATAAACCTTTAAATGTCCACCAGGCTCCAACTTTATGAATTGGGTTGTATTTGCAGGACTAAATTTGTACCTTCCTTTCCCGAGTTTGACGAAAGTGTCCCCGATTTAGTAATTTTCAGAATCAAAATAGACCTGCGGTGGGTTGGACTCTATGTAAGCAATCAAACGTCTTTTGGCAGCTGCAAATGAATACATACCTCGGCTGGAATTATAGGTTGATATGCTAGCTGTCAGCTTCTGTCTGGGATTCAGCGTCTGCCCGAAAACTAACGAGTCTGTAGGGTGATCGAATGACTGCCAAACCGTTGTATTACTCGTATCAAAAAGCACAAGGTTTCCCATTTCTGTTAAGTTTAAGCCTGAAGCATATTTCCCACTTGTGTTTGTTGACCATACCAAGGTTCCATCTACGTCTGCCAGGACCAAATCTCCATCTTGTGTGAGTTCCAGTGTGGCATTGATTTTGACCGGGTTGTCTCGGTTGGCAGACCAGATTCTTGCGGTTCTGATATGATCTTATTGCTCACATCAATTTCTTCCGTGGAGATAAGAATAGCAAAGACGCATTTGCTGCTGCTACTACTTCTTTTTCAATAGAAGCCACACAAAATTCTGGGCGAGAGCTTCCTCTATGAAGTATGTTAGCAAAAGTTGAATCCATTAGATCCAACTTGGCTATTGATTCATTATTGATATGACAAGTTGGCCATCGAACGATTTAAAGGTTGAGCAATAATCAATTGCAAAGAATAGATGAGAAGAACAAGAAACAGACTAAAACAACAAAAACTCTGCCCCAATCCCATTTCTATTCTCAGAATCGAGGAGATGGAAGAAGATCAAAGCTACCCTGCTTTTTTTGCCCGGAAGGTTAGTGCTTCTTTGACTGCCAATGATACAGACGTATCAAGTATGGCATGACTTTTCTGGTATTGACTCTCTCTCTGGTGGTTTCCTGGCGAGAGTAACGTTTAGAACTAAATTTAGAGAGTAAATGATATGACAATATATTATTTGAAATTTTTATTAGGGTCCAAATAACATGACACCAAATAAAGAAGTCCATGTCAATTGTCATGTCATTTAAACTTTAAATTTAGTCTCAAAATTTGGTCAATAAAACATTATTCTTCCTACAATAATTGAAAAATGCGACACATTATGAGTGAAAATGATCTCTTTTCCTCTCTAAGCATGCTTTACTTTTGTAACAGTTGTTCGATTTTTTTTTTTTTTTTGGGAAAATTTCAGCCACACCCTCTATAATTTATTATACTCTTAAGGATACCCCTCTATTATCAAAAATATTACTAACACCCATTCTAATTTATAATTAAACATCACCAACACTCTTGCCATTAAACAACCATTTATAATAAAAATAAATTATCTAAAATATTAAAATTGCCCCTCTCAAATTCAAAACAATCTTTTTACATAAAATTAGATTAAAATTCATTTTTTTATATATTAAAAGTCGAGCTGACTAAAATTCTTCTTTCTACATATTAAAATTTGAGTCGATTAAAATTTGATTTAAACTGATTAAATTTTATTTTTTTACGTATTAAAATTTGAGCCTATTAAAAGTCTTTTATGTATTAAAATTTAAGTCAATTTGAGCTCTACTTGAGTTGTTAGTCCTCACTAAATTTGCTTCGAATTAATTAAAATTTATATTTTTTTTGTATTAAAATTTAATTTAAGATGATTAAATTTTATTTTTACGTATTAAAATTTTAGTCAATTAAAATTTATATTTTTTTATGTATTAAAAATAAGGCCGAATAAATTTAATATGAGTTGATTAAAATTTGATTTGAGCCTCAAATGAAATTTTAATAGGCTTAAATTTAAGACTTAAAAAAATATAATTTTTAATTGACTCAAATTTTAATATATAAAAATAAATTTTAGTTGGTCCGAATTTTAAAATGTAAATTTTTTTAAAAATAGATGGGATCTCATTGAAGA